CACAGCACTTTTATTCATTGATGTATTTATTTTTCAATTATTGTCCACCGAGTGAAGAACAGTTTGTTAGAGCGGTGAATGTTCTTGTGCCGTCCTGAGTTTACCGCAGGTGGAAGCTCCCTTTAATAGATTGGTGAATCTTTCTGTTTGATCACTTTTCCATTCAGGCAACTCTGGTTGCTTAGATTCGATTTTATTAATTATGTTACTGGCTGCCAGTCATATAACTAATGAATAACTCACTGGGGTCTCCTACTTAAAGAGAAACAGCAGAATGAATTCAGCTTAGATCAGCAGTAGCCAAACACAGCAGAAGACCTTATTGCTTTTCCTGATAACGGGACAAAGTGGACTGGGAAGAACAGAGTGCTATCTGTAAGGACAGAAATGTAAGAAAGGAAGAAAAAAACCATCAGATTACGTAGGAGTTACAAACATTTCACATTGCCGGGCTTTGATTTCTGTCCTTTTAGCTAAGTGTGTGAATGTTCAGCAGGTTGATACCAAGAAACTGTTGGATGAACTGCTAACAGAGTCAAAAAGAAGTACCTATAAATATATTTCTTTAAATTGTGTTCATTCATATTAAAATTAATCTTTTAATTAGATAGTAATTCCATTTCTGAGCCTAACAGCAAATGATTGATTTAAACCTGGACGTCCGTATTGGCTGGACAGTGGTTTTATAGGCCTTACACCACTGAACTGCACATTTTTTTCACCCCGGGTTTTCTTCTTCTTTTTGTTCATCAAAGCACAGGAATTACACTGTGTGTGTTTCTGAGTACATTCTCTTCAATAAATGACTTTCAGCCTCAGAACTCTCGTTAGCTTCATTCATTAGCACGCAGGTTTTTACCAGCCCTGTTTAATTTTTCATCATTTAATGAAGCCTTAGTTAGAATTGAATTTGGCTTTGTGAGACCTGTAGATAGCGTTGAACTTTATTTATTATTCCTCATTTTCTCCCACTCTCATCCCTCCCCGCTCCTTTCATCCCCTGTTCCTCTCTGTCACCCTGCTTATCTACTGCTTGCTTTTTTAATTCCCGTCTCTCTGATCTGCTCTTCTCACATCGTCTTTGAATTGGATGTGGCCCTGGGGGACCCTAAATCCAATCCACTGCTCATATTCCCTTCAGCATTGTACCACAGCTTCAGTCGAGACACACCTTAGCGAAGCAACACACACGATGTGCGAGTTTGCCTCTCACATCGTGCTGAGATTCTTCTTTTCATCGTCAACGTCTTACACTTAAAATAACACGCACACGTTTATCGTTTTGTATCATTTTTGTGATTCAAGGATTATTTCTTAAAACAGAGATGTCGGGCTTTTTCATTCAAGCTCCTGTTTTATTTTGTTTTTAACTTGCACAACATAAAGACAAATGTGATTTATTTATAATTCTGTGCAAGCATCGATCATTATAAGCATTAAAAGCACCAGCGAGCGACGTGAAAAACGTTGACAGTTCTGCGGGGATTCCTTGGGTTGTGGAATTTGTGTTAATGTTGCCTTCACAGGGACCACCCACCCTTAGCTCTTAGCTCTGCCAACTGTCAGACTTATGGCAGCACCTCCCTCAGGCATGACACTGCTTCTTGCTATTCCCCAAACACTTCTCAGGACCAGCTCAGAAGATGACAGTGAGCCCAAGGTCTTTACCAGAGGCCTGTACAACAAAGCAGGATTTGGGTGTAAAACATCAACTTCAAGTTTAACCCCGGATTTTCAGTATTACAAAGTATTCTTACCAGGGTTCATCATCACAGTAACTGAAGCAGGTTATGTACACAATAAGAGGTCAGCACATTTAGAATCCACATCTAATAATCAATCACATCTCCATAAAACAGCATTACTAGTGCTGTAAGAATCCTCAGCACTTAGTGTGTGGCTAGCAGTAAAGTATCTGAAAAGCATCTGAACTTTGTTTTCCCCTGATGACAACTTTAATCCTTCATTTGTTTTCTCTGTTGACTAAAACAATTTTAAAATTCTCTTATTGTTCTATAAACCTTATACATCTCAAGTACACATTACATGTGGACCTTACATAAAATTTGCAAATAAGCTTAGTCTACAGTACAATTATACAGAGTTTTTATGCTTGCTCTCTGCCTGTTTAAGTGAAAGAATAAAGCAAAAATTGGTTTACAAGAATCCAAAGTATTCTGTTAAATTATTGATAAACATTCAATTAATGCAATACTTTATTGTAACCAGTCAGATTCTCTTGTTTCTTAATGACAGAGCGCTCATACTGAAGTCTGTTAACTTAGACAGTCAGCATAGTTGCATGCTTTCCTTCCTTTCTTCAAACTTCAAACAGGCTAAATTTTATCAACATAGTAACTCTTTCCCAGTCTTACCGACCAATGTATTTAAAGCACACATTAATTACACACACTCACACTTCATAGTTTTCTAACATCATAACTTGATCTTCCTCTGTAGACCTGTCCCTGTTTGTAATTCTCAGATCCTGCCAGCACCACCCCTTTCATGTAAACACACTGACAACTAGCTGGTTAAATCCTGAGTTGACTTATCAAATCACCTTCATGTGACTGCTTAGCATAATTGCTGACTTTAGGGCAAGTAACAACTGAGAAGGAAAAGAGATCCTAGCAAGTTCAACTTGTTTTATAGTAGAGTCCACAGATCCAGATTCTGATGTCAGTTTGATTGAACATCCATATGAACCAGAACAAGCCTAATCCACTGAGGGCAAATCCTTTGGGTGTCGCAGCCCACAGCACACAAAGGATTTGCTGCCAGACACCAAAGGACACTCCCACAATCCCATATCTGTTTCCTGACAGGTCAGAGGGGTTTTGTCACCAGAAGGAGCTCCGGATTAATACCAGGCAAGCGGTTTTAAAGTTCGACCTATTGAAGTACAAGCCAACCACAAAATAAAACCTACAAACTTAGTAAAATACTGTTGCATCTTTGAGTTTCTGTATAGTGCTATACTCCAACACCCCGACAGAAGATTTATGAATGACATCAGGCCTGGTGGTGAGTCGGGTTTCAAGAGGAGAGGAAAGGAGAGGAGAGGAGAGATGTGGAATCTTTTTATAATGTAGTTCAGTCCAAAAAATTGGTGATGATGATGATGATGATGATTATGATGATATTGTTGGTGGTGGTGAGGGGGGGTTACTGGTAGAATTATGAAGATAACGTGTTCATGGATGGATGAGAAATAATAAAGAAACTTTTGACAGCTGAGATGAAAAACGTGGATGATGTTGCTGATAATTTTAGTAGCAGCGAAAAAAATGAGAAAAAAGTAAGCGGGGGAGTAAAGATGGTGGTGACATTGTCAAACAAGAGGAAGAGTTGATGCACAGGATAATGCAAAGAATGTTGCTAAAAAACGGACATTCACGAAAATGATGAAGATGTTTTTATTTCCTACAAGTTCGCTTAAGCTGGGCGCTCTTTTCGGTATCCTGCGGCTGTGCTCTGCCCTCCACTATCCCATCGCTTCATGGCCAAATGAGTCACGCGCGCATCATCATCACAATGAGATGCATAAATGAATAAACCCCACTTGCGCAGGCACCGGACGTTAAAGAGGAAATTTCAGTGCCTCAGTCAAAACATGCCACTAGTTCGCTTGTCACATCGCATCACGCATGATTGTTTTCACGGCAACAATCATCCGTCGAGTCTAAACGCGTGCGCTTGGGATATGTGGCTATCCGGCAAAATCACGGGAGAAGAGGAGAGGTGGATGAGGGTGTGTTCCTGGAAGCCAGATAGGTCAACGCTGCGACTCTAACATAATCCTGATCAGTCGAGATGACAACGAATACCAACAGGGGGGAACCCGGAGCTTTGTGCGTCAGTGCGCATTGGAGAGGCGATAAATCAAAACACTGCTAGAAAGCGCTGTTGTAGTGCGCCATCTCATCTCTCTCTCTCTCTCT